TGGCCCCCCCCCCCTCTTCCAGATAGGGGTATTTCCATTAGTAAACGCTACTGATTTAAAATGTAAATAAATACTGTCATCTCAACAAGAGTGCTGGATCTGGAAAAACTGGGAAGGCAGTTGACAAGAATTTAAATTGCTAATATTTTCCATGCATTAGTTTGGGGGTCTTAAGTTGGATCAGTAAGGAAATGTGATTGTGAGGAACAAGCTCTTCCTTACCATGACTAACACAGTGTGGCAAACCAGCTGTTTCTGATAGTGATATCAATCTCATTGCTTTTGATTTTAGGGGTAGAAAACCTAGAGGACATACTGCTAGAGATTATCTCGTATTTTATCTTGAATTCATAAGGCAGCCCAATAAAAAAGCCATCAAGACATCCATCTGCCATTTTGTTTCTAAATTTATGATTAAATTAGAAGATAGCTTACAGAATGTGTCTAGCCATGTCACTCAGGTCAAGGACAAGGGCAGAGCAGACAAGGTCTTTCAACTGCAAGGCACAATTTGCTGTTTGGCAGCTCAAAGTCTTTAGATATTTATTTAAGCTTTAGTGACAAAGGCAGCAGAAGTTTCTGCGAGCTCTGACTGGTGGACAACATGCTTTGCGATGGCTGGCTGCCTGTTTTCTACCACTTTCCCTATCCAGAAGAACCTCAGATGCTTCGTGATAGCTACGGAAGAAGGCTGTATTACAGATTGAGTCTTAAAAGAAATGATTTCGTGTATACTTAAATAACCTACTAGCCTGGAAATTGTGCTGGGTCAGCTGAGCTGCCCACATGGCAGCAGCAGATATGTGACAGCAGGTGTAAAGCAGCCGACTATGGGTGACAGCCACTGCAGCCTTCCCAGAGCAGCATTTCCACCTGAGAGATAAAGCCAGGAAATAACCTTGCTGATTTGACACTTGATTGTGCATATTTTATTTTATTTTTTTTTTTTTAGGTATTTCTCAAAAAACTCTTCTCCAAATTGTACCCCTCTGCCTGGCTCCCAGCCAACATTTCTCATCCTCCTTCACTACGCGAAGGTTTTATCGTTTTTAGGACAGCTTCCGCCTAACGTTCGGTCTTATATCTCAGTACTTCATCACCACACTTTCTCACAAGACACGCACGAACAAAGCACAGCCGACAAAGCCCTTCTCCTTACGGGTTGTGCTCAGCGGGACACCCTCCCCACACGCAGAGCCCGACGGGCCGTCAGCCAGCGGACACAGCGCTCAGGGTAGGTTCGCAGCATCGTGCAGAGGGCGGTGGGCACATGTTGAGGGCCTCACACCGACCCCCGCTCACAACCGCGAGCGCTCTGCCTGCTCCGTTCTGCTCCCTCAGCTCAGCTCAGCCCGGCCCGCCGCGCGTCACGCCGCGCCGCCAATGGGCGGGGAGGGGGAGGCGGGGAGAAAGAGGGGTGGGGCGGCAGCGCTGCCAATGGGTTGTGGGGATGTTTCCCGGAGGCGAAGCGGCGGCCCCTCCCCCGGCGGCCGCTCCGGCTGGGGCTCGCCGGCCGGAGAGTTTCGCACCCGGCTGGGAGATGCCGCGCGGGCTCCTTCTCCTCGCAGGTAACGCCTCGCGCGGTCCCCAATCACCTAGCAGGCAGCGGGATGGCGGCGGAGCTCGGAGCCGCTCCGGACGGGGTGACGGGTTGACACCCCCCGCACAAAAGCGGAGCCTCGAGCGGGGCAGGGCCGCCGCCAAACTTCCCCGCCTGGCTGCGCGGAGGGAGCTGTGCTGCTCGTTCTCTTCTCCTCCTTTCCTCCCCCCCGCCGCTCGGAGCGATCGCTGTGTCCGGCGGCGGCAGCGGCGGGGCGCGCTGGGGGAGCCTCTGCTGGCAGCGTGCGCGGAGCTGGTAAACAGAGCAGGGAAACTTTCTGCGCGAGGGGAACGCTGAGGAACCGGAGCGTTTTAACTGCGCCTGGCATGGTTTTGCTCGGCCGAGGAGCTGCGTTCGATCTCAGCTTGCGCAGCCCCTTGTTCTGTGAGCCCAGGAGCGCTGCTGCGGGATCCTCAGAGCCAAAGGGGCCGCTGGGCGGCAGGAAGCCGTGCCCGGCTTTGTGCTGCGGGTGGGAGCGCTGGGAGCGGAGTCAGGGCAAAGGAAAGCTGAGACAGAGCTCCTGTGTGTGCCTCTTGTGTTTGGAGTTACAAACTTCACATACTGCCCGGCTTTTGCTATAGCTTTCCTTCTGCAGGCTCGTCGCTGTAGCAGCACTGGCTGTGGTGTGGGAGCTCAGGAGGAGCGAAGGCAGAACAGCTGTCCGGGCAGAGCCCGGTTTGGGGGCAGCAGGAGGGACCCTGCTGAGCAAAGATGGCTCGTGGGTAACCTGCCAACGCGGGGAGATTGCGTGGCCTTTCCATTTGCCTCAACAGCCAAATGCCTATGAGGATAGCTCTGGGCAGCCTGGTCTGATGGTTGGCAACCCTGCACACAGCAGGGGGTTGAAGCTAGATGATCATTGTGGTCCTTTTCAACCCACGCCATTCTGTGATTCTAAGATTCTAGCAGGTGGATGCTATGATAGCAGGTGGAATGAAGCCTGTACCTTGTCTGACGTGAGCAGAATGACCCAATGAACGCCACTTTGAGTCTTAATTGTGCGATACCTGTTGTCTTGCTGCTTGAATTGTAGAGATTTAGGCCTAGTCCATTAGCTGGCTGTGACGTTTGTATGAATTGCCAGTATGGGCTACATGCAAGGCTGGAGCCTTTCATTCAGTTAACCAGGGCAAAGTTCAGTTCATTCTGCAATTGCTTGTGTTTCTGCACTCCTTGCTCTCTATAAGGAAATTAAAACGTTTATCATCCTCATAGGGACTTTATAAATGCTTTGCACTCCCTGTGACACCCCAGTTTGTTGTACTTGAAAAGAATAGTAAGAAACAAAATTAAAAGTGTCTTGCTCAAGATTTTAGAATTTATCTGTGCCAGAGCTTTAACTTAGAATCTAAGAATCTCTTGGCTTTTGTCTCTGTGCATAGACCATGAGAAACTGTGGCTTTCTTCCAAGTTTGAAGTACAAAATTAAGTTTAGGTATGTTCCAGTCATTACCAAACACTCTGAAGCAAAGGTGTTAGATTGGGATAAGGAAATGTCACACAACACAACCTTCCATTTTAATTTTTCTTTTCTTTTCTTTTTTTTTTAATTGAAATGCTACTGTAATTGAGCACTTGTATCTATTTCTTTCAGATTTGCAGCCAACATAATGCTGAAGCTCCCAACTTGGAACAAGGATTTCACAGAATGGCACAGACAGAACCTAACCTGGACCATGACATATCATGGTTCCTCCTTCCATCATGCTGGGCTAAGACTGTTGTGGCATTAATATCCTTCCTCTGCTTTGCTAACAGCTATGATGGAGATTTTGTCTTTGATGATTCTGAAGCCATCATCAATAATAAGGTTTGTCTCTTTTTTTGTTGTTGTTGTTTTTTTGTTTTCTTTTTTCTTCCCTTTTGACTCAAGTGTTAATAGAAAAGAAATAGTGGCCACAATTTGTCTAAGGAGGCCCATAATATTCATCCTAGTAGAAAACTTCCTTCTGATATTTCTTTTTTTGAGCTTTATTTTTCTTGAGTTTGGTGTTTTGGTGGGTTTTTTTGTTGTTCTTTTTTGTAGTAAGCTTTCTTTATCGTTGACAGGCAAGCTGTGCAGCAGTGCTCTGCAGAAAAACTGAACAAAATCTTATTCCTAAAGCTATTTGAAAAACATGACTTGGGTTCTAATGCATAATAATACAAAAGAGTGAGCAAATTAAAGAGAGTTGTTTTTCTTCCCCTCAGAACGTGTCACCTTTCTTTTTTTTTGCAAGTGAAATACTCTGCTTGACAAGTCTTGATATATGGTCAAGGAAAAGAGATTTCTCTGCCATGGCAGATGGAGTTCATCTACTTCTCATCTAAGGCAGCATTATCTAGGGTCGCAGCTAATTTGGATGTGCTGATTGGTAACACTTCTTCACGGGGTACCTGTATATCAAGAACTGCCTATAAATCTTATGCTCATTTCTAAGTGAGAGAGGGAGTCCGCAGTAGATTTTTCCAGTATCTCTTAATAGTAAATAAAGAAATTTTCATTATCTCCTTGGAGTGATGGGCAAATACAGTTTGGTTGCGAGATAACTAACCAGTTGTAGTATGCAGGGTTCTCCAGCTGTGGTTTATGCCACAGAAATGTTAAAGGAGCAAGGAAAGCTTTTTTTTCCTATGTTTCTTCCCTACTTTTTAAACACTGATCATACGTGCAATGGGTAATTCTTGAAATACTTAAAAACTAAGATGTACAAAAGTTAGAGGCAACATACTGCAATGTGCATTTTAGAACTTGACAGTACTACTCTTTACTCAGACAGATTTATGTTAGACTTGTACATGTCATTGTGCTTCAAGTTATAAACATATTGGGAAGAAAAAAATCCATCAAATTGGAATTAAATCTCAAAGCTTATATTAAAAGACTATCAACAAATTAAGATCCTACAGTAGTTTGGTTTTTCTGTTGTTTTTGTGTTGTTGTGCTGTTTTGTTTTTTTTTAAAGCATTCTATTGCCCCTCACTGCAAGAAAGATATTGAGGCCCTGGAACGTGTTCAAAGGAGGGCAACAAAGCTGGTGAGGGGTCTGGAACACAGGCCATATGAGGAGAGGCTGAAGGAGCTGGGAATGTTCAGCCTGGAGAAGAGGAGGCTCAGGGGAGACCTTATTGCTCTCTATAACTTCCTGAAGGGAGGTTGTAGTGAGCTGGGGGTCGGCCTCTTCTCTCGTGTCATTAGTGATAGGACCAGGGGGAATGGTTTCAAGCTACGGCAGGGGAGATTCAGGCTGGACATGAGGAAGTATTACTTTTCAGAAAGGGTGGTCAGGCACTGGAATGGACTGCCCAGGGAGGTGGTGGAATCACCGACCCTGGGGGTGTTCAAGGAAAGACTGGATGTTGCGTTGAGGGACATGGTTTAGTAGGAGCTACTGGGAATAGGTGAACGGTTGGACTGGGTGATCTTTTAGGTCTTTTCCAACCTTAGTGATTCTATGATTCTATGATTCTATTTTAAATTACACAGCTCCTGGGAATGTTTCATTCTGCAAAGTTTTATTTGGGGCACAATAATATATTTTAATTTCCTGAAAGAACAAGCAAAAGACTGATGTTGAAACAAGGCAAGATGTTTTCTTCTTGTAGAATTTCCACACTAGTAATCTTTCTCCATTTCTTTCACTTTTTATTTTCAAAATATTTTTATTTATCTGTACAACACAACAACCTTCATCAGGATTATAGCTTTTGGCAGTGCTGAGAAATTCAGCCAATTGCTTGAGTAGATTAACCCAAATCTAGGCTGTTCATTTAAAAACAAACAAACAAACAAAAAACTGTGAGGCTTACTCTACTTTTCGTATCAAAATCTTGTATTATCTCGTGGAAACTAAATGAGAATTTGTCAACAATATCATTTTAACATAGGGTTAGGTAAGTACTAATGTATATACATCAACTCCATAAGAAAAGTTAGGAGACTGAGTTTTTAGTTGGGAGGAAGAGTATATCGAAAAGGCAGAGTTCATTTAATAAGCTACAGCATGTTTTCTCTATTTTCTGCTTTTTCAATAGGAGAGACAACAGATAAAGTAATTTTATAGATTTACTGAGTTACTCCATCTATGTCTTCTTGGGTGCTGAACACTGATTTTTTTTTTTTAATGTACTAGCTTCCCTGCCCATTCCCCCTTTTCCCAACCAATCTTTCCTTTGAGTAGCATTTTAACTAGTACACAACAGTGGCTTTTGTCTTCATAAACTTCAGACACAGTGTGTCATTTCCATAAGCCTTTTTATAGAAAAACTGACTTTTTTTTTTTTTTTTTTTTTTTCTGGAATTGAACCCTGTTTTGTGTGGGCTGCTGCTAATCAAGTACTTAGAGATTCTTTGATTTGTACTTTCAGTTCTGATAGAGAACATCATATGTAACTTTTTATCACTTGTGAATTTTAAAGCAAATGGGCACCTTTTTTTAGAGAAAGTTCACTGTGGGGTGATTGATGTAAACAACTTTCTCTCACAGAGCTTAGATGCATGAACAAGATAAGTGGCTAAGAATTTCTGGGTCATAAGGAGATGTAAACACTAAATCATTCCAGGTATTCAGCTTTACCTGCATTCTTCCTGCTGAAGGCAGAAGAAGACTGATTCTGGTGGAATGGAAAATATCGCTTTGCTCATCCCAAATAGATTTCCCATCATTAAGGCTATCTGTGATGTAGAAGATGTACTTTTAAAATTGTAGTACTTCCTTTTTTTAAAAAAAAAAAAAAAAAAAAAAATCTTCTTCCTAGCTCATTTCTTACACAAACATGTGTAAGGAACAATGCTGTTGTTTGGGACAGCAGTCTGAGAACTACAATGCCTGTCAATAGATCCATCTTGAAGAGTACGAAGGCTTCAATATTTGTTGGTGTACAACCTAGTCTTGACTTGCCCCTGTAAAAACAGGCTATATTGATTGATTTAGTGGGCTGATGATGAGCTTCAGTCCTCTGAGAGTCAGATTATGACCTTTAGTGTTTGTTCATGCCACTGGGGAATGGAACGTGCTGAAGGCCAAAATTGTGGTCTTGGGAGAAAAAAATGAAATTCTTTGTATAGCTTGACAACAGAAATGTCTGTGAGAGAATGAAGAAGCTTCACTCTGGAATAATTCTTAAGTTCAAATGAGATTCCCCAGGAGTCTTGGTTTCTTAATATTTTCATTGAAAATGCCTTAATTTACATCTTCAGTATAAGACTTTTCAAAGACTGCCTTGTTAGCAGTCTCTTTTCTGCATATTTGTTAGTAACATATTTCAGAATGTTTCTGTTTGATAGTATGTTGCAAGATTATTATGTTACTTCCCCATCCTAATTCATAGAATCCTTCAGATCAGAAAAGACTGTTAAGATCATCAAGTCCAACCATCAAGTCCTCACCACCATACTTGCTAAAATCTAATCGACATATCTACACATTTCTTGAGCACCTCCAGGGTCAGGGACTCCACCACCTCCCTGGGCAGCCTGTTCTGATGCTTGACCGCTCTTCTGGAGAATATTTTTTTTTCCTAATACCCAACCTGAGGCTATTACCTCCCATCCTATCACTAATTACCTGGGAGAAAAGAACAATCCTTACCTCACCTCAATCTCATTTCAGGTCATTGTAGAGAACAATGAGGTTTCCTCTGAGCCACCTCATATTCAGACAGCTGACTAGCTAGCACTCCTTTTCCTTCACGCAGCCTTCCAGTCATTCTGCCTCAAGCCTGTAGTGTTGCATGGGATTCTTGTGACTGAAGTGCAGAACTTGGCACTTATTCTTTTCAAACCTCATACAATTGGCTCCAGTGCATCAAACCAGCCTATCCAGATCCCTCTGTAACTGTTAACTAGTATTGGCCAGGTTTGATTTAGTGATAGTAAACTATTTTTCTGGATTTTTTGGTGTATAGAGAACCAGGAAAAACTCAGATATTGCAAGTTCAGTTCAGCAGCTAGTAAGCATGGCACAGGCGTTTGGTTGTATATTGGGATTAGCAGTGATATGTTATCTCTTGGCTTTCTGGCAGGCCAAAAATGCATCTAGGGATAAGATGAAAGGTGCTGTAGAGCCCAGGATAATGTAGAAATAAGTAAGATAATAGCAGTGTTTTTAAGAAATTGGTGGTAACGAGCTAAGTTTATTACAATGGGCCAACTTTGTAAGTAGATGGAGATGTAAAATGAGTAAGACATAGGGCACTAGGCTTTGAAAGACCTTTCATGAGGTCGGCAGGCTGGTTTATCGATTTACTGTTGTTTGAATTGGTTGTTTGGTCTCCTTTTGATTTGTTGGTCTATTTAAAATTCTAAAAGAAGAGGGTGAAAGAAGGACGGAGTGGAGTAACTTCCTTTTGATTGCAGGTGTAACATCAACATTCAAATAAACGGTATTCATTAGCTAGTACAATATTGTTTTTAGGCTCCATCTTAAGTGTATATAACCTGTATATTTGCTTATTGGAATTTTTCTCGGAAAAGCAGAGGAATAAGGGAGAGTAGAAGATGAGTTTTGGATTGAGCTCAACAGCTTACTCTCACAAAGAACTAAGGAGGGTACTACAAAGCCCACCTCTTCAGAAAGGTGTCTTCCTTATTTTTTTCTTCTCCAAAGTCTGTGTTTGTCACTCAGTAGTCTGTGTTATATGAATGTTTTCTTTATCAACACGGCTTTAAGAGAAAAGGAAAGAGCATACTTATCCTTTGCAATGTTTTGGGTATTTTTTTAGGCTCTGACCCCACCCAAAATTAACACAATTTGTTCATTTTAGCATCTGCTATTAATTGTTTAGACCAGTATGCAAAAGACCTTATTATTGGCTTCATGTATTAACTTTTTTTTTTAAGTGCTAATTAAATAGTATTCTGTGCAAAGTAAAGCTTCAGAAAGAACTTGTTCTTTTCTGTCTTCGGTCTCCTTGCTTCCTTGTTTTCATCAATAGTTGTCCTACTTGCATTGTTTTAAAAATAGCTGTTTGTGACAGTGGCCTCTTCTGCACGATAACCTTAAAACAAGGTGAAATGAAAGACATTTTACAATATTAGGTAAAGGTGGGTTTTTTTGTATGCATTCTATTTCGAATATTGGACCAGATTATCAACTGACATACTCATTGTTCTACTAAATTTCATGTAGTTATACCTACTTAAAGGTCAAGATGCTTTGATTCTTTTTGATGGGCTGGATGTGCTCAAAAAGTGGGCACAGAAGAATCTAACGATGTTTAAAAGAGTCGAGTACAAGGTGTTGCACTTGGGTCAAGGCAATCCCAGATACGAGTACAGGCTGGGAGAAGAACTCATTGAGAGGAGACTTGTGGAGATGGAATCCTGATGGAGAAGGAACTGGACATGAGGCAGCAGTGTGCTCTTGCAGCCCAGAGGGCCAACAGTATCCTGGGCTACATCAGAAGAGAGGTGTCCAGGAGGGAGAGGAGGTGATTGTCCCCCTCTACTCTGTGAGGCCCCATCTGGAGCTCTGTGTCCAGGCCTGGGGCCCCCAGTACTGGAAGGGTACAAAGCTATTGGAACAGGTTTAGAGGAGGGCCAGATAATAAAAAAGCTGGAGCACCTCTCCTGTGAAGAAAGGTTGAGGAAGCTGGGCTTGTTTAGCTTTGAGAAGGCTCTGGGAGACCTCATTTTGTCCTTCCAGTACTTAAAAGGAGCTTGTAAGCAGGAGAGAGGCAGACTTTTTACATCATCTGAATGTGATAGGACAAAGGGGAACGGCTTTAAGTTAAGGGGGAGGAGATTTAGGTTAGATGTTTGGAAAAAATTTTTACTCAGAGGGTTGTGAGGTGCTGGAACAGATTACTCCAGAGATGTTGTGAATACTCCATCTCTGGAGGCATTCAAGACCAGGTTGGATGGGATCTTGAGCAGCCTGATTTAGTGGTTGGCAACTCTGCTTATGACAGGAGAGTTGGAACTAGACAATCTGTAAGGTCCCCTCCAATCCACATCATTCTGTGACTGTATGACAGGCATTCAAAACTTGACCTTCGTTACAAACTTTTGTACTTTGTCAAATGTTGGTGGAGAGCCAGCAAAACATCTGGTATGTTCATGTTAACATGAGCTTGTATTACTTAGAACTCATTTGTGTTATAGATTCTTTGAATCAGTGATGTTATGAATCTGGTGTTTTATTTCAGGACCTCAGGGCAGAAACCCCACTTGGTGACCTGTGGCATCATGATTTTTGGGGTAGCAAACTCAGCAGCAATACCAGTCATAAGTCGTATCGACCACTTACTGTCCTAACTTTCAGGTGAGACTTGCCATTTTGTTCTAGGTTTAAGATTATTTTAAATGCATATTGGCATGTTGATTTTAGGGAGGAGGCAAGATGAAAAAGGGGAAGACGAAATATCTGGAGGGAGTTGGATGTCCTTCCTTAGTCTGATTTTTCTGCTCTCTTTCTTAATCTCAAATTGAGTTTTAATTTTCAAATTGTTTCTTTTCCTAAGTACACGTTATTTTGACGTTGTTTTTCAATATACTTTTCAGAGGTTGCATCTCATATACTTTGGTATTAGGAGCGTTGTGGATCAGTGTGTTGTCAAGGAATAAAATGCATGTTCCCTCCACTTAGCCCTGCTGCCTCTTGTACTACTATTGTAGTTTCTGTTCCTTGCTTGATTAGTAGAACTGTCTGATGATTCTTTTTATAAATAGCATCAATCTGCTGTGGCCTTTTGCCACTAGGACACTGAGTAATTTTTCTGTCTCTATCTCCCTGATATTTTTGTTTCAAGTGAATGTTTGCCTGAGAGTCTGAGTGAAAAAGATGTTTGCTTGTCTATTTAACTGGCTGGTTTTCTCAGACAACTAATGATTTACAAGGAGTCCTTCTGTAGATGCTTAGCTCATGTCTCATTTGCCCAAATCCTTGTACAAAAAGAAAAAAAGCAAAAAAAAAAACCCACATAGCAACTGTGCACAGTAATGCAGAGAATCTTTAAGAACTGAGCCATAAACTTCTTTACTTTCCCCAAACAACTCTGTGCTATGGAACCAGCTGCTGCAGACTGTAGAGTTGGCACTGACTGTAGAGTTGTTTCTGGTCTAAACAGGAACTAAGATTGGAGAATCATTTAGATTCCTCCTCAGACTGAAGCAAAAGCTTTGACTCTTGAGATCAGTGTTAGTGTTTTAGCATGATGTCTCGCTGTCTTAAGGTTTCTTTACATTGCCATTGAGGAAAATATGCAACTGAATGGTATGTGTCAGTGTCTTAATCTTAGTAAAGCTTTCACTGCATTCAACAGCACATGCTTCCCTTTCTTTTCAAGTGGTAGATTCCATCTTTAGTAATATCCCAGTTAGGTTAATGAGAGAACTGGGATTCTATCATTACTATATCATGTGGGGGATACTATATACATGTGGGGATGGTCCTTAAAATGCTGTTTTCACAAGTAAGAATTTGGCTTACTTAATACCCCAAGTTTAACTTTTCTGTGTATCACATCTATAATGAGTTAGGTATTTTTAATAGATTTCTTTTAAGCCAGACGTAGGCAGGTCAAATGAAGTATTTGAAGTTGTAAGTTTCTATGTATCTCACCTTCTTATAAAAGCACACAGAAAATAACATGCTCCTCCCTTTACCCTCTCCATTTTGCCTCAAAGTTCCTATCTTGGGTTGGATCTTAGACTTAATGTTTTTTACTTCTTTTTCGTTCTGATACCTGTATGACATTTTCTCTAACCTGTCTCACAGATTAGTTACTAAGACTTGCTGCCTGACTACTTTCTGGATTGATGCTGGATTGTACCCAGCTGCTTTCTACATCAGTCCAAATGCTAAGATGTTTTTCTGCTAGGATGCCAGTAGAAATCGTAGTTTCTATGCATTTCAGTTTCCATGCTGTGAATGTATTTAAAATTATTTCATCAAGTTGCTTGTGGACACAGTGTCTCTTAAGCCCAAGACTTCCCACAATAGGCTGGGAGTTCTGTTGGTAGCCAAAAGCCAGTTCTAACTTATCATCAGTGTGATTAACACAATGACATTAACATATGTCTTTGAAGAGAGTAGATATTCTAAATATGGTATCTCATATGAATACCTTTAAATAAAGATCAGGATGTTGTTTCTGGCCTGTTGTGGTGATATGAATTGGTAAGACTATGCATGCCAGGGTTTGCTTGCATTTTTCAGCCTGTTTTGTTTTGTTTTTAGCCTTAGCTTTTGTTCGTTTCTAATACAGTCTTGGTTTGGGGGTTGGTTAAGTTGTCTGTTAGTATGTCTCTAACTATTCATGTAACTTCTAACCTTAATGCTTTTGTTTGTATATAGAATTAATTATCTTTTTGCTGGAGGCTTCTACCCAGTTGGTTTCCATGTCATCAATATCATACTGCATTGTACTATCTCAGTGTTGATGGTTGATGTGTTCTCAATATTATTGGGTGGATTGCAATTCACTAATAAAGGAAGAAGACTAAACCTGGCTCCAAAGACATCTCTTCTAGCTGCTTTGCTGTTTGCTGTACATCCAGTGCACACTGAATGTGTAAGTACTGAATACTTATTTCCAGCAATTTGTATCTTAGAAGTTTTTGACCGTCTTGATTAATTAGCTTTGACATAGCCTCTTACTGTACTCTTCGCTTATATATATTCTTAACGCTTCTCTTGACACTTGGCTTACAAGAACGATCAAATATTATGGTTAGTGCTTTCAAAACCTTGTAATTCCACAGGGCTGGACCTTATTAAGGAAGATAAATTAAATCATTTAAGTACAATAACTAAAGAAGGATAGCCCTAAACTACAGAGTTTTCCTAATTGCTGGATTAAGAATTCATTACTAGAAACATTAGCACATGAGTAGCCAAGAAGAATGGAAGATAAACTGAATGCAAATGCTTAACTACTTTTCATTCCAATTTGCTTTGATAAAAGGCAAGATGATAGAATATTGGAATAGGGTTATTACATAAACTCTGTATGTGACTATTAGGATATTTTATCCAGTTTTCAATCCATGATGCAGTGGGGATACTGGGAAAAAAGGAGAGGACTCAGAAGAGCCATGAAAGTGATAAAAGGATTGGAAATCATCCCATGTCATGATGGATCAAATTCCATGGATTTATATTTTTAGTATGAAGGAGAAGATTAAAGAATGGTTTTGTGTTTTTTTTTAATCACAGCCAGTAATTATGTACATGGGAAGCAGAAATTTGATAGTAATGGGCCCTTTAATAGTGCAGACAGAAGCATAATAGTGACTGGAAGTTGAAGCTATAAAGATGTGAAATAGGAACATGGCATGTGAGTAGTGTCCAATTAAAATACCTGACCAAACATCAAAGTCACTGTGTGCAAGCTCTAGTGAAGACGAAATGATTTTCTTAAGGTGTTCTGCCCTCATAGCTGAGAAAGTCTTATGGCCTTTTGCTGGTGTATTTGCTGGCTTTGGTTCCTGATTGTTTAGTATCTTATGAGTAAGAATACATGAAATGAAGAATAATTGCAATGCAAGAATATTTTTTATTTAGAGTTTGGAGGGACTGATCTATTTAAAAGGTACTAATTTTAACTTTGTCCTATAAAGGAACTCTGAATCCTCATTGTACAGTGTTCTGTGTGTGTGACACTGATCTCTTTTCATTTAAAATATGGCATGTTTTTGTGGCCCTTTTTCATTCTTGTTGTATGTGATTGATGGGGAAGAGGTAACAGAAGAAAGTGCCTCTCAGTTAACTGGAGATTGTACATACTGGAAACCTGGAGAAGGTTCTGGATTAGCAAATTCTGAACCTTATTTGGCAGTGTGGCTAAAACATCCTGTAATTTGTTCTTTGGTGTTTACCTAAGTAACAGCTTTTTTATTTGAGCACCTAGTCAGAAGGGTCCCTGATATGTTTTCCAAAACAGTTTTAGATGTCAAAGTGAAGTAAGAAAAGTCCTCAGTGCTTTTGGTGTTTTGATATCAAGTGAAATGTCATGGGAATCTTAATCATAATCTTGCTATTGACATCTTTATTAATAGCCATAATTTTATTCTTTGTCTATTTAAAAATATATTTGTGAGGAGGCAACAGTTATTCAAACAATGGTCATATAAAATAAATCACAAGTGATGCAGTCTGACAGGTGTGTGAGCTTTGAAGACTTATGTACACTTTGGGCAAACAATGGAAGAAGAGGAAAAAGTATGCTTAGATAACACATCTCTTCTAAGATCTAGGAGCTGACAGAGGCTTCTGATCATCTTCCCAGTAAATGATAAATCTTGTTGCACCATAACAGTCATGATACTGCTATGGTTCCAGCATGAATGCATGTCAGGAAGCATCTGCTCAAAGAGCATTTCTCATTGTTTTAGAGCTGTGAGCTTCAGGTAGCACGACATTCTGGTTTTGAAATGAGATGACATATTTTGACACAGAATAGTGAGGAATCTGTCAGTCTGCTGCTGTGGTTTTGGGTATGTGCAGCACAAAACAAACTTGTCATCTAAAACAGATCTTGAAAAGTTTAAATGCTTTCAGTAGCCATGTAATAAAAACATCTGTCATTATATGTATTTTTCTACAGGCAAGTAAACATTGCTATGGCATCTTTCTCTCTCTTAATAAATGTTTATTCTGTGTAATGCTTGAGAGATGAAACACAGGCATAAGAATATGCCTGATACTAATTTAAAACTGAATTTTTCCATTTACCTTGTTTTCAGACATTATGTACCTGATCCTTCTCTGAGATGAGAAAATTGTGCATTTGGAGTCATTTAAGGCCATATGTGTGTTGTTAACTCCTTAATCTTTATTATAATAAATTGGCATTTATTTTCAAAATTGCCTAAGCTCACCTTTACTTTTATTACATTAGCTGAGAGCAGCTTGTCAAACTGAATGATGCTTCGTTATTATCACCTTTCCAAATGCTTCCTCTACGGGGCAGGAGAAGAAGCAGGGAAGTTGGGTGTTTGGCTTTGAATTAATGAAGAAGTTTTTCTGCACTGTTCAGGAACCAGCAGTTTCTTCTTTTATGGTGCTCAACTGAGGCTGAGGGCGTAGCAGAAGAGAGCTGCTTCTGTGAATTCAGTTCTGTTCTCATGTCTCTACACCTTCGCATGTTCTGAAGTTCTTTAGAAACATGTTACATCATGTTTGACTGATGTGCAAAAGAAATAAACTCTTTTCCAACAGGAGGGTTAGTAAATATCTTGAAGCTACATGAAAATGCAGTTTCTCTTTTTACTTATCCCTTTCTCACAAAATGAGACCATGGATGAAGAAGAAGAATCAAATTTTCTCCTTTTGCTCCTGAACCATCACCTCATAAAACCAACACTGTTCATCTTCCCCAGGAAGCATGGAACTTGGAGCTCCAGCATGTAGATACAAACTCAAAAAAAAAAAAAAAAAAAGGAGTCTTTCCAAGTTCCTTGCTCAGGGTGCTTTCTCCAGTGAGGTCTGAACTTCTGGGCTTATTCAGTCTCCTGCCACCCCACTGTGCTATGATTTCCCCCAGAAAATTCATGGCACATTGTGACTTTTTTTTTTTTTTAAGTCAGAATGAAGATCCAAGAATGTGTCACAATCACTTGTCTAAGCAAGTGATTGTAAACGCAGGTTAATTCCTTGAACTAAAGCTTGTTGATGGTCCCAAGAATGGTCTTAATTTAAATAGTTTCATAGAATCATAGAATCATAGAATCACCAAGGTTGGAAAAGACCTTCAAGATCATCCAGTCCAACCGTTCACCTATTCCCAGTAGCTCCCACTAAACCATGTCCCTCAACACAACATCCAGCAACATCCAGTTGCTGAACACCCACAACATCCACAACATCCACAACATCCAGTTTGGTGCAGAGGTCCCAGGATGAGCTTCTGATTTTATTCTGCGTTACTACAGCTTCTGTTACAAGATGAAGCTGCAGGTAACTCTAGTGTAATCAAGTAATACAACACCAAAAGCTGCTGGAGGATGGCATTCCAGCAGGCTGAAAATTATTTCTTCATTGGGAGTATTCAGACTGCAATTTGAAGGCTGCCTTGTGTTCTGAAAGTAGGTAGTCTCGATTTGTACTTCAGCAGAGTTGCTGATTTTGTAGGGATTGAAGTCTTCTAAGAGTTCTACTGAAAAACACTGTAATCTAAAAATCTGATGGAATGGGGTAGTCTGCATTTTCTTAGATGAAGTCATGTTTTTTTCTTAAAAGTAGCAGTATTTCATAAATTTAAGCTAAATCATTTACCTATTTATTACTAAGCAACGTCCAGTAAAACTTATGACACTGCTTGGAAAAATTAGGTATCACTAGCTGAGCAAACAAGATAAAAAGAAAAAGATATTAACAGCAATGGTTTTATACTTTCACTTTGTATACGTATGTATCTTTATGTCAAGTTTTCTAAGAATAAAATCTGGTAATATTATTTATTTTCTTGTCTTTTTAAGGTTGCAGGGATTGTTGGCAGAGCAGATCTACTATGTGCCCTGTTCTTTTTGTTGTCATTCCTTGGCTACTGTAAAGCGTTTAGAGAAAGTAAGCATTGCATTTTATTTATCTTTAATTTTATGTTTTGTGTTATCTGTACTCATGAAGTGAAGTATAGCAGAACCAAGGGATGTTGTCCCTAATTCTTGTTAAACAGTAATAATTTATTTGCAGAAACAAATGTTTTGTAATGGGGCTGATATTTTAAATAGTTCGTTGTACAGAAGCATATAAAATATTTTAAGAAGTATTTTAGAAAGAAATTAAACCTGTACATTTCTATTATCGGTGTTATAGTGTACTTATGCTGTTGTGTTGGAATGGCTTAAATGGAAATGAACTTTAGAAACCTCACTTGTTATTTTTAATAAAGATTTATTCATATGAGTAAGCCCTCTGATTTCCAGCAATATGCAAGTGCTGGTGTATGCATGTTGATTATAGTGTTATTCATAGGATTTTTGTAAGACAACTGTGTTATTTTAACATGAAAAAATCCTTCAACAGAGATTTTAGAGCTGTTGTATTATTTGACCTGAATGCAAGTTGGCAGTTCAAACAGTGTTTTGAGGGAATTGTCTTGGGATTTTTAAATTAATACACAAAAATACATCAATTTGTTATTATGAAAAACTGTACCGAATAGGCATTTTGGTTTCCAGATGTGTTCTAGCAGCAATAATAGTGGAATCATTTGGTGAACACATGAAGAGCTGTGCTACAGTGAGCTTGCACTGCATCAATTCAAAAGGCATGGTCTATAACGTTTAACTGCAGTTGAAAATGGTCCAGATTAACAACACAGTAATGGGATTGCAGGGTTTAGAGTAGGGGGGAGGGAGAGGGAAGGTAAGCTGGTGCACTGTGAGCTCTAAGACGCTGTCAATAACCCTGTTAGTTGAGCTTACACTCCTTAGAACTACTTTGCTTATTTCTACTACACTTGATATCATAAATTTAACTTGGTCACTTCAGATTATGCTTGTGGTAATTCCTGTTCACTTCTGTCTGTTTTTTTTCCTCTGCATACATTTCAGTTTTCAACTGAAATCATGTCTTGATGAGAATGGGCCTTAGGATCGTGTTTGTTCATTAATTTTTTTCTCACCTATTTTAACTGGCTGTGTTTGTGCTTTGGATATTTCTTCTGTCAGCACCAGAGTAAATCAGACGAAATACTGGCTTTCTTGTTTATTGATAGAGGTGTGCTGATATGGCTGGGGTAATAATTTTTGTTTGAAGACCTCAAGAGCCAAGTTCCAGAGTGCAGTCTTTCAAATAGTTTTGAGATGAAGGATATCTCAGGAATTATTTAGAGTGTGATGTGTACTCTGACTGGGGATATTCTGAGTGGTTTTACAACTTTCAAAGGCTAGTCTGATGATTTTAAGAAGTCAGTGTAGTTTCAAAAGTATTCTAGTATTAAAGTTCTTGTCACTGATGTAAACAAAACATAGTGTGAAGTCAAGATAGTAAGAAGTACTTAGTTGTTTTGTTGGATGCTATCCAATAATAACATCAGAGCTGTCTCTTACTCAGATTTGTTAAGGAAAACTATGGTCTGCCAACACTACTGTGCCTTTTGTTTTCCAGATCACATTTAAGTGGTTACTATCATCTTCAGTGCCTGATTTTCTCTCAGATAATTCTTTGTGCCTGAAAATTTTTATCCAGGTTACATGTAGTTCCTTCTTTGTGACAATTTCAGGTCTTGCAGATCATATCTTGAATCTCATAAATGAGAGAATGAAAAATTTATATCATCCAGCACTGTGGAGAGCATAATAATGTCTTTGGCAGATCTTACATGGAGCTAAAGGGAGGAGTCCACCCTTCAGGTTACTTAATACTTAATCTGAACCTTACAAATTTTTAGGTCTGAAAATGGCCCAAACACTTCAAAGTCAGGATTTATTTCTCATCCTAGATGTGCCTTGCTGTAAAAACAATAATAATAAAAATAATAATAATTTCTGAGCAGAAAGGTAGATGAGGTTGACTACTAGCAGTATCTCCACAAGCTTGATCTTTAGCCTCCTAAGTCAGCTGCATTTCATCTTGTGTCCATTACGAGGGGATTCTCAAATTTTACTGAGTTCAGGTTTCCCTACTTTGTGATCTTCAGCAGCTAACTTGGGCAGGCAACTTAAGAGCCTTTTCTCCCTGCTCTTTTTGTGTAGTCATTCAAAAGAGATGGACTTGTTTTGATGGTCAGTGAGAGGGGTGGTTTAGGTTAGGAACTTGCAATTGCCTTCTGGAGGTGCTTGAAACTCTTAGCTGTATAGAAGATTACAAAAGCTGGGCTTATAACTTAAAATATGTTTCCTTTGCCACTTTAGTTGGGGAAAAGTGTAGGCAGGTAGGTGCTGAAGTGGAGCAATCTAACTTTCTTTTGTCATAGACTGTAGAGAGATTTAGCTCCAAAGGAAACTCTGAAGGTCATCTCTGCTCTGACAGGTTAAGACAAGACTAGCTTTGTACGTCAGGTTGCTCAGGTCCTTATACAGATGAGCTGTAAGAAAAATCCAAGGCAATTCCACAGCCTCACTAAGCAACCTTTCTAGTGTTTAACTGCCCTCGTATGAAGATTTTTTTCCCTTACGTTCAGTTATAATTTGGTTTACTAGGCCTTGCAATTGCATCCTGTCCTTTCCCTTCAGAGAAGTCTGTCTCTGAAGGCTGAAGCTGGATCCTCTTCAGTCTTCTGTAAAGGGAGAATGATAGGAGAACCAATTCCCTCAGTTTCTTTTCATATGTTATACTTCTGTGTCTCCTAACCACCTTAGTGATTCTTTACTGAATTTCCATCTTATTGATGCATCTCTTTCATTGGACACAACAGTGAACATAGTACTTTGGATGTAGCCTCACAAGAGCCGAACACAGAGGAAAACCATATTCACTCACCCATTGGATATGCTGTAGCTTATATAGCACACTGTGCATTTATCTTTTTTCATCGCCACAAAAACATTGCTGACTTGTCTTCAGTTTGCTGTCAGTCAGGAACTCCAGGTCCTATTCTGCAAACCTGTTGTCTAGGCAGACTGATCTGAAGCATGCTGCTGTCTTTGAATTCCATGAGCCTTATGTTAGCCCATTCCACCAGCTTGTCCCAGTCCCACCTGCTGGCAGTCCATTTCTCCACTGTTCCTATGTATCCACTAGCAGAACCCCACCACCAACAACCACCACCAGTTCTACTTTCTGACCACACAATCTCTTTTCTTCTTTTGAACAAGGAGGTTGGTTCAATGTATCAGGCTCCTCATGTGTTGTCTGCTGTAGATAGTTAGTGTCTTTATAGTAATGGCTGTAAGGGAAGCAGCTGTTTATTAAAAACTAGTGGTGATAGGTGGACGGTTGAACTGGATGATCTTGTAGGTCTTTGTAATTCTATGATTCTAACATATCACAAAGAAAATACCATTTCTTTTCTCAGGATTCAGAATGTTTTCTTTCTGTTGGCAAATCATAGTTATCCACAAGATTCAGAGTCTGCAATACTGCCAATGCTCATTGTTAGTTCTAGTCCAAGTAAACAATTGTTACTGCATCACTTTCTAGATCAGACCAAGATGCTCATTAATCTTTGTAGAGTAGCCTTTGTTATTATGAGGGGAGAGAAAACAACCAAAAAACCTTCTGTGCATTCTGTTACATCAGGCTTATGTTTCTAATTATATATAGCATCTTCATGAAGATCCCCCAGAAAAGTGATACCTAGCAATTTGTTCCAGCATTCCCATTTTATTTTGTCTTGCTAGATTTGTATGTATCATTGGCAGGCATGACCCTAAATCCTGGGTAAACTGCCTCTGCCCTTGTTTCTGAATTTGGTTGTCACATGTATAGCGTAGTTGATGAGCTGTTTAATAGGAGGAGGAGAAATATCAAAAAGGGATTTTTTTTTTAATTGTTATTAAAAAATGCATGGTATCATGGTTTTTTTTTTTTGGTTTATTTAAAAGAAAGTGCAAATCTGAGCCTTTCAGCATTTATAGACTGCATTTGTATTGCATTTAGAATACAATTAGCAAAAGATGTTTGATACTAGTTTGCATTTAATGATGAAGTTTGAGTGTCAGACTAAAACAAAGATTGAAAAGCCTGAGTCCGTGATACTGGTATAGTTTCATCCTCAGTAACATACAGTCCAAGCAGCGTCCCAATGCTGTCAGACAGGTTATCTCAGACGTTCACAAAGCACGCGCCGGTTCTTGCAGCAAGGCAAAGTAAGTTTTGTGTCCAGGTGGGTTCCAGAAATCCTTTTTGCTAACATGGGCTTAGTTGTTGTACTGTCATTGTTGAAGTCTTCTCTAACAAAAGTCACAGAAAAGAGACTGGTTAGTGTTTGTTTTCGATCGATCTTAAGTGAATGAACAGAGGGTGTTTAGGTTTTTTTGGCTTGAGAGTGAGGAATCATAAAAATGTCTGGGATGGATTTAGGAATACTGTGAGGAAGTGTAAATAATTCTGATGGCAATAAAGAGATTCGAGAAGTGGAAGTTATCAGTCTGGAAATCTTCCAAAGGAAAATGACTTTTGTCAAGCTCAAGATGTACTGCAGTTTGCTTACCTGATGTGGTTTATTTGTGGCTTGGTAGATTTTGGGGCAGAAAGTTTTCTTCAGCCTGAATCTGTAGCATTACTTTTATTACTTTTTTCTTCAGCATCTCACTATGTAGGCTATAATTATATTCACTGAAATTCTGAAAATCTTTTACTTTTTTTTCTAATGCACATTTTTTGTTGTTACCAGAATTGACAGGTTAACACGTTTGCAAGGAACTAATCTGTTGTTCTCATTCTATTCTACTGTTTAAAAATTGTATTTATGGGGACAAATCCACTGCATAGGCTTTGGAGACAGCAAGAGCTGACAGCTGTTTAGGTAGGTTAGGTTTTGCCTTCCTTTGTCTTCAGCCTTGACAGTGATCCAGTGCATTTATTTGGCAACTCCATTAGTGTTCTGAGTAATGTAAAATGATGAGTTTGTGATATTTACTTCATGTGAATGACACCAGACATGGATATTAAATAGGGGA